ATGATACTTATATGCTTATAGATATCAATTCCTACAGTTGATCTTCTATCGGAAGATTGAGGAAAAAATAGAGAGTGGACAAATGTGATCGCGAACATCGATTAGTGGATTTGCAGCAGAAGAAAAATGATTCGACAGGATATTTTGAAGCTCAAGGTTTCTGGTTTGGCTCAAGGAACATGGTGACCCAATGTTCTAAAAGATATGCTCCATATTAGGTTGTCTACTAAACATTTTTACTTCAATATTTTTTTTTAAATGCAGGCAAAATTAACGCACATTTTACTTAACGCACCTTTAAGTACCTATCTCTAACGACTTCAGGGTCGGACTGAGCCAGAGGGACCCGGGTGCAATTTTGAGAAGCAAGCCGGGTGGATTTTTTTGCGTATTTTTCGCCTTACGTTTTGATCATATATTTTTTTCATATATATGTTTTGATCATAGATTTTTCCCTATATTGATTTGTTGTTAGTGTTTGAAATCAGGGAACTACCCGTAATGCAATGCAAATGTAGATATTGTTAATCCAAAAAAAGGGTATAACCTAATAATATCACCGTCATTTATCTCGGTTTCATTTCTACACTAAAAAAACATATAAAAAAAGTACAACACTGTACCACAGATTGTACCTTTTTAAACTTATGAGATTCAATTGTTGTATATTAGCTAAGTTATTATTCTTCTCAAACTCAGTTTACAACAACAGTGCTTAGTCAAAAACATATAGTTAGTAGGGTTACAATATGTAATAACGATTTTAGCACCTCTCCTATTCAACATATTCATGGCAGCGCTCCATTATAGTGGACAGCAAACTGCAGGAGAGAGGTTTGGGCATTAGATAGGTACAGATACGACGGCAATCTGTTCAACATAAAAAGACTCAGGGCAAAAACATGTACAAAACTCATCACTGAACTTCAATACGCTGATGACTGCGCTCTAGTTGCAAAAACGTTACAGCAATTACAAGAAATGTTGAATACCTGGGAATACGAGACTTTAGCCCTTAAACTGAACATCGAGAAAAATAAAATCATGTGCACTCCCCCGGAAGATCACAACAATGCTATAAAAATCGGAAAACAACTATTGGAATATGTAGCGGAATTCAATTACCTCTGCAGTTTCATTTCGGAAGAGGCCAACTCAAACGGAGAGGCACCTCTTCGTTGCATTACCTTGACTCTGAAATTCATTACAGGATTAGCAGCGCCCCATTAGCATTCTGGAAATTAAAAAGACAGGGTTTTCTACAATCACGACTTAAGAATGTTATATGAAAGCGAAACCTGGGTTGTAGTGTAAATCTCGCTTAAAATGGGCTGTTCACGTATGCATAATGCAAGAAAACCGCCTACCGAAATCTCCTCTTTACTATGAGCTTGTAGACGGTAAGAGGGACAACTCAAAAGTTACAAGGATATTTTTCAAGAAAACTTAGAGGATATACCATCTAGAATTAGTGGGAGGAAATAGTGCACAATAGAACGCAATCGAGAAGCATGGAAATATAAACTCAGTTAATAATCGCAACCAAAAAGTAAAGAAGCAACAAAGTAATGAGATTTTTGAATGTCCGGAGTTTTTTTTTAGTCACAGAAAAGCTCATGAAGGAAAACACCTTGCGTAACCATCTTCTGATGCGTGTCAAATACTCGTCAGTTGTTAGTGGCAATAAATAAAACATTATAAATTGACTTAAAAAAACTTAACTTATTTAAACATTATACATTACATCAATAATTTTGATCCATAAAGAATATTCAATATAGAACATTAATATATAATTATTTTAGCAATAAGAGTATTTACAGAGTAAAATGGTATTTCAACTGAAAATACTGGGTCAAACTAAAACATATTTTAGTTACATTCTTTGAACATATAATATGAGAGTTGCATTACCTATTCTGTTTTAGCACTTCATTATTTACAATAGCATTGAGGCACAAATGCGTATATTTACTTAAATTTAAGTGCAAATATTTAAACTGAATCGTAGTAATAAGTATCAGATAATCATTGTTTAAATATCATAATAATTAATAATTTATAGGTATGTATATATTATTATTAAAATCATACGAAATTGCCATATATGATTTAAAAAAATATATTTTAATTTAACGTCTCCTTTTTGCTGTTAAGGCTAATCTGGATTGAGCCTACTTTGTTTACGCGGAATCTGAACCGTGGTCCTCGGCCATATAATTGTCAATGGCCCACTGACCTTGAGAGTGTCTAAATCGTAAGGTCCGACCGAACCTAAATTTTTAGTCTCGGCCGAGACCGAGACCGAGACCGGGAGAAAAAGAAATTCTCGGCCAAGAACGAGACCGAGACCGAGACGCAATGCAATATTTATTCAATAGTTTTTTATATAAAAAAAAACATCTGATAATAATGGAATAAAGGCTTTATTTTTACGCAGAAACGGTTTTATTGGGATTAAACACTATAAAATTACTAATACCCTTCTAATACTTTTAAATTACTTTTTTTAGTCTATGTTGTAGGCTAAAAAAGTAATTTTTCAGCATTGCATCCTTTCAAATTATGCAGTGTTTCATCATATTCGTTCTAAATAGTTGTTTGCTAGAGACGCTTGTTGGTGATGCAGACTAGAAATATATAAGCTGCTGGTTTCAGAACTCTGTATAGAGGTGAATAATTACACACAAATTTTTTATTTATTTGTAGGATATACGAGTAATTCATATAAAAGCACAATTCTGTTAAATTTATAAAATTTACATTAATAAGACACTAACATCTAATATTTCGTTCATTGTTTACGCATAGAAATATGAAGGCGATTCTTTAGCCGTCCGGGAGATCCCTTTCGTAATTCTATCAGATCATATCGTCGGCTTTATGACGCAAAGGCGTATCTAAATTTTTGCTACTTTTCAGGAGAGCAATTTAAAGAAAATCACTTACTTTATTTGGCCAATAAATGTAAAGTCTTTAATTTATTAATAGTGTTTTTGTATTAACACTTAAACGGAGACATTGAGGAAACGTTCTGAAGATAAATCGAGCGTAAGTTCTAATAAATAATTTATTTTTAGTTGTTTAATAGAGATAGGCCTTTTTGTTATAATAATAATAAATTTATTTCCGAACGAATAGTATACATACGCCCATGTAAAATAAATTTAAAAATGACGGTAATAACGGTTCTTAATAAGAAAAAAATGATACAATATTCACATTATGGAATATTTACAAGAAAATACAATACAATACAAAATCGCCAAAAAATCAGAAACAAATATTTTTAAACACTTTTTTTCGCGTTGGATTAGATCAACAGAAAACAAAGACAATTTTAATGCCAGAAGCAAAGACAATAATCAATTAAAATACTCTTATCTAGCTTATTTTAATAATATTGTTTTTTATACAAAAATTCATTTTTTAACTAATATATTTTTAGTAATTTTTTAGTTAATTGAGGGCATTAATGCAGGGCATTTAAACTCACGGTCCATATAATAAAAACAAAACTAAACAAAAACAAAACATGTTTCTTCATTCGTTTTTTTATACAAATAACTGTGGAGTAACAGTTTCTGTTTTCCCTGTTCAATGATAACAAATTCAACTTCCATTCTACGTGTTTATGCTGGATGATGATAGGCAAAATAAATAAAATTTTCCAAAAATTGGTAGGGATGACAATGCCAATGGCCTGACAATGATAATGAGATGAAAATTATTGTATTTTTCGGGCAAGTTTTTGGTTCGCTAAAATGTTCTTAGAGAAATTATGATGTCGGGAATTTTATTTTTTTTTCATTAGGGCAATTTTCGTTTCCATCAAAATCTCCCTTTTATTCGGCCATTTATTCTCGGACAATCTTTTGCACACCCGATACAGCTATGTGCAGAATCTAGCTCATTCTAACAATGGTTTTTGGCAAAAAAAAATAGACTCTAAAATCACACTGTAATAGAGAGCTGCTGCCATGATAGAAGTTTTATTTTGTCCCAAGCAACCGTCAGAAAATAATTAGGTAGAATGGTGTGATTTTCTCTAGCTTCATTTTCATAACTTAAAACAAAAGGACCTATGTCAAATTCTATCTTTCTTGTGGTATAACAATTGGTATAACAATAATTGATATAACAAAGAGCCCTACTCAACATAGGTCTCTTCGTCATAACGAAGAATTGTAGTATTTGAGATGGGGCAAATTTTTAAACTAATATAAAATGAAAAAGGTACAATATTGAGATGCGCAAATTCGCTATGTTAAAATATGATCCATTGGGCATGTTATGACGTTGATATCTCAAAATCGGCAAAAATCGAGATACGCCTTTTCATCATAAAGCCGACGATATATGGACCAGATATGATCCATTCTTTTTTTGACTTTGGACGGGTATTTCATTCATCCACGCATCGATAGGTGGAGCGATACGCTCAAAAATAAGCTAATTTGACGATCGTGGGCAATCTCGGCCGTGGCCGATAATCTCGGCCTTTTTATGGCGAGAACGAGACCAAGATCTCGGCCTGATTTTTAGCCGAGAATGACTGTAACCGAGACCGAGATCTCGGTCGGACCTTACTAAATCGACTCTTACGAGATAACTGATCTCATCCGACCTCAAATCGGCCGAATGAGCAGTGCGTGTTAATAGATTTTACACTCTTGCCACAAGCTCTTGCCATGGAACAATAGCACGACAGAGTTTCCAGACGCCCACCCGTTTAACGTCGCTTAACTTCGGTAATCTATCGGGAACCTCGACATAGATGGGACTTGGTCGATTTTTTACTATCTATGAACAATGAAATTATACGTTTCTCAGACATTCGATACTCTCTGAGCCAAGTTTTTTGGTTACATTGTTTATACAGAATTAAAATGAAATAGATTTATTAATAAATAAATATTATAAGAAATTCCTTTATGATCTTGTGTAAAAATATTTAGGGATAAATAAATATTCTCTACTAACATATTTTTTTAACTTACATCTCCAATTTCTTTCCTGGTTTGTTTGGCCACCCTGTATATATCTTCTCTGTTGGATAAATCACATTTGTATCCGTAAGCTACACCTCCGATTCCTTTTACAAGACTAATCGTTTCCTCCAAACCTGAAACAAATAATTTCAATTTTATCATATATTTTTTAAGTAATAATTATTTGACACATTTACAGCGTGTGTCAACATATATGCAAAAATGATTATATGCGATTAAGTGACAAAATAAAAAAATATTCAAAAAAAGTCAAAGAGAAGAGCTGTTTCGAATTTGATTTTACGTCTACATACCGAAATTTTCTAAATATACAAAGATTTTCAAGAAAAAATAGTTTTTCGATTACTTTCTGCTAAGTAATAGTATTTTCTTCAGTTGGCCTTAAGAAGGTCATAATTTATTTTTATATTGAGTAAAAATGATTTTTAAATGATGCAGTTTAAGACATTTTGGTGAAAGTTTGAAACACCCTGTGGAGTATGTTAACAAAGCAAGGAAATTATTAATAACTTTATTATCTAGGTGTATCTGTTCCTGATAATTTGTTTTTTGGTTCATCTCAATAGCTTCATTCTTTTTAGAGACATGCGCTTTTAAAGAAGACACTAAATTTTTTTCGTGTTTTTAACATTAACACTATACCTTCGATTTTGGTCCAAGTCAACAGACCTAAGTGTTTATGATTTATGTGATATTTGTTTTTGAAAAATCATATTATTATTTTCTCTTGGGCAGTTACTCGAGCAGAGATGGTTTTAAGTCAAAAAGTTGATCTCTACCATGATCAATAAAGCAGCAAATAGCCCATACCTCGGAATATAAAACCATTTCTACTAGAGTAAACGTCAATAGACAATGATAATATGACTTTCCAATGCTGTCTTATTCAAAAGCGAATACATCCAATAAAAATAAATCTAATGAGATGAATAAAAAAACAAACTATCGACAAAAGACGTACTTAGATCATAAAATGATTTTTAGACTTATTGCTTTGTATTCCACAGGGTGTTCAATTCAACAATTCAAACTTTCACCTAAATATCAACATTTTGTTTTCCCTCGTATTGAGGGAATTCACAGACGGGAACTCGTAATTGACAGACGGGAACTTGCATTTTTAATTTAGAAAGAGATACTAATAAGTCAAATTCTTTAGCTACAAATTGCTTCAAAAAATCGCCAAAATGGGCAATTAAGTACTCAAAATTACATAAAGTATTCCACTTAATGAAAACTTAAATTAATACTGTAGTGCAAAAATAAACAATTATGTTTTGAAATATAAAATAATAAATATAAATAACAAACAACCATGCATATTTTTAAAAATTATAGAACATATATCTATTTCAGCACAGACAAAAAATAATTTGTTTAGTATATTACACACTATTTATTACTAAGAAACTAGAAATTTTAAGATATACAGGGTGGCGCACCTCATTCGCCTCGGTTGATTATAGATGAAGTTACGCTCTTTACCATCTTTTGATGGGAGATGCACTAATATCTCACCGACACTTTACGACATCGTCTGTTGATATAGAAGGAGTTTTGCTTGCCGTATAGGTGAGAACCAGTCTCTGGACAGCCCACCTGATGAAGGGTAGGCCCAGAAACCGGTTGTGGGAGTGGAGCTTGGTTCCCCCCTTTACGACAAGCAAACCAATTTTCTTTTTACTTTTATTTTTTTAATTTTTTCTCTACTTTCGATTCTTCGAAATTAGAAAAAATACACAGCTAAAGGCAAGAAAATATTATTTATTAATAAGGATATATTGATATAATTACATAATAAAGATAATTTTTGACTGAAAATTAGCACTACGTGCATTTTTCGTCAACTTATTGGAAAATATTAATTAAAGTTGTATAATGCATTTTTAATTTTTCCATAATAGGTATATCAATCTGTAAAATTGAGACATTGACCTAGAAGAAAGGTATATTACATTATTAACCCACATTACCAGAATAATAAAATAAATCAACTTAACGTTTTTATCATTGCTCACGTCGCTGGTTCTCTAATGCAATAATAATACAATATTAAAGTTATATTTGATTTATATCTGTAATGATGCGAACGTAATTTATTAATATATGCACTTAATTTAGGTTGCTTCTTCTCAGCTCTTCTTGTTACTACGCCATTGAAAGTTTCTAAATTAATGACCATCGAAGAACTACTTTCCCATATAATGGTGAGTTCGTGTTACATTATAAGATTTTTCACTGAGTTAACCTTACCATGCCGACAAACCTGCGATAATATCCGCAAGAGTACTAGTAGAAGAATTTATGCGGGTCATTAAATATTAATTTAAAAGCACGGAATACCGACATACCAAGCTTATCTAGTATTACTCTATTTTTTGTTCTTAACAAGAAAATAAGTTACGAGTTTTTAATAAATTAATAGCTTGGCTCCTATTATTACACCAATTAAAATGTTAGAAGAACAGTGTGTAGGGTACAAATCCAATATATATCATAATAAACAGCAAAAATAAGGTTTTATAAGTTAAAAAAAGACGAAAATATTAGATTGCACTGGACAACACATTTTAGTTTATTGGTGTATTCCTGCAACGGTGTCTTTTTGCAATCCCTTTGTGAACTGTTTCTGGAGTCAATAGTAGTCCGCAAGCATGGAAGGATTCCAATTTCCTTCATACTTTGCATATTTTTAACCAGAGTAACGTAAGGCTCTTCAACATTTTTATTTCACAAGATTAGTGACCAACAGGCGAAAATAATTCCTAATAAGTGCTATCAAAATATTCGTCTTTCAGGATATTTCGGATTTGTAGCCCAACAAAAATACTTTAGTTTGAATTTGGTAGACAATGATTCAGGAAAAAAAAATCAGGATTTCGGACTTGTCTTTATTTATTTTGCTTACACAACGTTTCGGTCAGAAGCATCACTGATCGTTATCAAGTGTGAATTAAACTAAATCCTAAAACTACTGAGAGTATATACTACAGCGGAGCATTCACCCGTGAATTAGTTGGGTGCAGCCATTAGGTTCTCCACTAAGAATACCTGCATTAGAGAGTTTTATGAGTGGTTTATCGTTGAAATTTCCATACTTCGATTGCCAAAGATTTTATTACTATTAGAAATGAATTCGGCCTCTTTAAATCTGCGCTTTTTCCAATGAGTTTTTTTTCTGGACAACCCAGGCTTCCAACCATTTTATGTAGTGGGGCTTGGATCACATATGATCTGCAATACCCGACTTCATTGTTTCATGTCTTTCCGTATGATTTTTATGTTCGTAAAGTTGTAGGGTACCGCGGGGTATTGGGAGCCATTGGGTAATGAGAGCCATTGTGTAATTTTGAATAACGCGCCCTGATCTGAGCACTGACAATTGCGATATGCGGGATCCCCCATTAAATGTTTCCTAAAGCCACCACCGCCATGTTTTGGTACGATTCAAAGTCTGTTAGAGAACGCATCGAGTTTACGGGACTTTCTTATAGCGTGCACGTTTTAAAAAATTAGTGTAAGTTGTATTTATATTTTGCTTTAGATCAAAATAGCGGTGTTAATCAAAATCTACTGAAGTGTAGGTTCGATTTGTGTAGTTGTTTTGCTTCTGTTAGCGCATTTAATTTTGTTATTTTTAACTTGCAAATATGTAAACAAACGGGGTAATCGGAGCCAGAGTGGCTCTCATCCCCCATGGTGGTTCAATTTTATTTTAGAATGTTATAAACATATTTCCTTATTTTATTTTAAAAAAGATAATTTAAATTTTGTTTCAGAATATTCCAGACATATTTTGTGTCTTTTGTTTTAACTAAAATAATTTAAATTTTGTTTTAGGATGTTCCAAACATATTTGTAACTTTGGTTTCTACTGAAATAACTTAAATTTTTATTTTAAAATATTTCAGACATGTCTTTTTCTCTTGTGTTTTACCTAAAATAATTCAAATTTTGTTTGACAATGTTAATAACAGATTTAAATATGTAAAATAAAGTGGCTTCAATTTTCCCACTGTTATGGGTAATGAGAGCCAATGATAGGTTTTAGTTTTTCTTTTGCATACCAGTAATGTTTATCTAAAACAGAGAACTGATACTTATATTTTATTTTACACATCACGAACTATCTAGAAAAAGAAAATTGTTGCCAGCAGTGGAATGAGTAGTATTTTATTTCAGGTTTTCCTTAGGTGGCTCTTATTGCCCCGCGCTACCCTACATGTAGAGGCCGTTTAAAAAAAACAGAAATAGCTACCCCTAAAAATATTTGCACTTATTTAAGACTCATCCTGTATAGAGAGATGGCTGAGAAAATAAAAATGAGGATGCACCAAAATTGCAAATCGCATATCCCGTTAAATACTGTATTCTCCAAAAACATTGTTTTTGAGATTATTTCCAAAACAATACCCTCGTATCTTTTATCTGATTTATCCCCCAGAAGAATGCCTCTAAAATTGTATAAAAACACCACTATAATATTATTTGGCTCTTAATATCCAAAAAGCGGCATATTCTTTTGCTTCTCCTGACAAGCTATCCTATTTTAAGCAGTATAAATGATATAATCTTGGCTTCGTATTCTCCAGCGGTAATAATTTCCTCATTCTCAAGTGCAAAAGCAACACAACACTATGTAATCTAGAATAGTGATGACTACTGTTTAGGAAAAATAACCACCGACAATTATAGATGCAGATAATACAGCAGACGTGTCGAAGATGAAACTGGCAAGACGTTTCATGGTGAATAACAACATGGCAATTTTCTACGCCAGCTCTCTAACATACACTTGACATTTTTACGATGCTACACGCACGGCTATTATCGTAGCTGTAACCGATTCTTTCAAAATTCTGTTTCGCCGCTATAATTCGCTTTATTAGCGAGATTGCAAACGAGAAGCAAATGTTTACGCCGGCGTTTTGAAACTACGAAAGGTAATCAATCAACTTTTGTGGTCGTCATGGTACTCGATTGCGTTAAACACGTGCATAATTAGATTAACTTTGATATTTCGCATTTTGTTTGGATATAATAACAAATGACAAGAAACAATTCACTTATTATCAACGTCTTCCTTTCAGTGCCGGCGCTTAGTTCAATACCT